CCGCCCGCCCGCCCACCTGCCCGCTCACGTGATAACATAATACGTCCCCGTCTTCGACGGGCGTATAAAAACCTAAATGAAACTGGTTTAAGTACCGAAATAAACAAAACAAAGAAAGTTGTGTCAAGCAATAGATGCTGATTAAGGTGAAGTTGATAATTTTGTATTCTAAAATACTTAGCCAAAGCCAATTAGAATGACAGTAAAATGGCATGAAAAGTAACTGAACTTCTGAAAGGCCCCGAAATTTGACATACACTCCAAAACAAGGCCTGTAAACTAGTTATCTGTCACAAATCAATATTGAATCCCATATTTCACGAATCATAGCACATCTCCATATCTCAACATATAAGTTCATAGTCAATTAATACTGCCATTAATCAAAATTTATCACTGAAATTGCAAAAAAGGATGTAATTCAGCAGTACGTATTTAAGCCATATTGTACATATCCCCGTCTTGTCGATAACGTCTTCTTCTAAACAGCCTTCTTGTGGTTTCAACTATCGCATCTTCTACAAGGCTGTTCCTGGCTGTAGATATGCTGTTTATAGCATTTGCCACGACAGTTGATACCTCCATTTGGCGCGATTTGGTGACATGTGCTTGATCCAAAATTAACACGAGTTATTGTTGGAGCCGCCATATTGTTTACGCATCGCTAAGGCACACTGCAATAGTATGCACGATTTGATTGGTCGATACGAGTGAGTTTGATAGAACACTGCTCATTGGTCGACCAATTATTAAGCTTTATTTTGGAACAGTCGATAATGACTTCGATGTGTGAATTTCTTATGGAAAGCTCTCCGTGTTTTTTGCACTTAAGTGCAAACGTTTTTTTTAACTTAAGTGGAAAAGAGACCCGTAAAACACACATGAAATAAATTTTCGTTAAGCCATTAAGGTAGGGACGTGTTTCTTCCAAAATGCGTAGCCTTAACAACACATATACCAGCGGTAGTTAATAGTTACAGCGCTGCGCAGACTTCGGTTACATCTATTTACCTGTGTAACAGTAAGGTCTATGGTGTGTGCAGGTGCAACCAGGTGTATCCAGTATACATGTGTAGACGGAGCAAACAAAAGCTCCAGACAGTTGATGGTAAGTGTTATTTGTATGTTTTAGTAAGGAATCCACTTTTAAAATATAACACTTATGGCCCTAATCATGACACACAAAATGATCAATTAGCGAAATTGCAATGGGTTTTGATATCGTTACACAGTATGATTTTGCTTCCTAGTTAAGGAGAGTGACTGTGATGTTTGAGTAGGTAAATACTAGTACTATGACGTTTTTATATCAAAATGATTTATTTGATGTCGTCATATTAAACATTGATCATGATAATATAAATAGTATTGAGTATACAAAATAGTGAACCTTGTAAATGTCACACATAATTATGAAACCGAAAATAAAGTTGTTGACATAGTGTTTGAAAGACATGCCTTTTCATTAAGAAGTTTACCAACCATGACGTAACAGTGTACGATGGCCGATAGCGGCCGTACACTTTAAACTCATGTTTTGTTGGGTAGTGTACAATTCTATGGTAAATCTATACTTATGGTACGTAACCTTTCCATCATTTTAAAATATATTTGTCTACAGCCGAAATGGATAAACATCATGTCACAATCTATATCCTGTTAAGTCATTATCAACAAAATCTGTTCCTGTCTTAGCCGAAACGAGGCCGTCAGTAATCAACTGTGCTCGTGGCTTGTACAATGTACACGATTTGAACAGGAAGTACGATACATGTACCTGTTTAACGACAGCGGGTGTAAACAAATGCATTATTTGATCATTTTCTCATGCTTGAATACAGAAATGTAGCACATTAAAGTGAACCATCACACACTTTGTGTTTAAAAGACATCAACAGTGTATGGACGAAAATCTGGCCGCTATCGGCCCCGGTATTACCGTGACGATGCACTTTAAGCCTACGCATTTTGACAGACGACCCGCAGTGAGCATTGTACCCGCGCAGCCAATAGATTTCAATAAAAAAAACACTCTAGACACACATATCATGTACACTAGCGGTAAAAAAAAACTGTGCATGCGGAGAATAAAATGTATTACCAACTGTATAAATATGAAAATTCACACACATGACCGAGTATGACACATACACACTATCCGTGCAGTTTGTTCCCTATAGTGCAGTTTGTTCCCTATAGGCGTTGACAAGTTTGCATGTTTTCTCGTCCAGCCATCCAATTCGACAATGAAAGTTTATGTTTCAACTGTTGGGTCACTCTGTTGAGACCAGTGAACAGTAAAAACAGCATTATAAAGTTTTAATTTGTGATTAATGCTATGCCGAGGCTCAATGAATATGACCGCCTAAAGATTATTGATATGCCAAGTCGTTGCTTCTACACGTTTTCATGTCGATCGAAACACAATACGTGATTTGTGGAGACGACATAAACAGTTTGGCCGAGTCGGCGATCGACCTCGTGCGGGACGTCCACGTGTGACGTCACGTCAACAGGACAACAATATTCGGCTTGTCCATTTGAGAAATCGCTTCCAAACAGCAAGTTTTGACTGCACGGACAATCCCTGTGTTGCTACCAATAAGCCCGAGAACTGTACGGAACCGATTGCGTAAACGAGCTATCCGTCCGCGACGACCTCCAATCCGCCTAGTTCTTCTGCCACGTCATCGTGTAGCACGTCTGGACTGGTGCAGAAGGCATCTGCGATTTACTCGATAGGATTGGGCAGGCATTTTGTTTACGAACGATTCGCTAGTCCACCTGGATAGTAGTGACGGCCGTTCCAGAGTGTATCGTCGCGTTGGAGAACGTTTCCGTGACGCGTGTGTGGTACAACGACGTTCTTTTGGCGGAGGCAGCGTTATGATTTAGGGTGGCATCACAGCCAACGGGAGAACGCCTCTAGTGGTTGTTAACGGGAATTTGAACGCGACGAGAGAGATCCTCCGGACCCACGTCGTTCCATTCGTGCAGGGGCAGCAACGTCACATTACACTACAGCAGGATAACACCAGGCCACACACAGTTTGTGTCGCTATGGACTTTCTGGCCCAGCAGAAGGTTGAAGTGTTGCCCTGGCCTGCTGTATCCCCCGATCTGTCGCCCATTGAACACGTCTGGGATGACATTTAGTGCAGATTACGGGTATTACCTAATCGACCGGTGACATTGGCTGATTTGGCTGCAGCGTTGGTACAATTCTGGAATGCCATCCTACAAGCATTCTTGAACTGTCTGATATGCTCCATGCGTCGACGTTGCCAGCCTAAGCTTGCATTCAGGCAAACGGTGGACATACGAGGTATTAACTTTGTGAACTCAGTATTTTCTCCTGCTGTGTTTACGTCACTTTTGAGCGGAACGTATTGATTCCATAACGTAGAAAATGGAATGCGACTGTTAATAAATAACAAATAAATTGTCCTTAAAAACTTTGTTGTTCTACGTCATACATCTTTACTTTCATAACACATTTTAGACATGTACAGATTCTTTTTTCCGCTAGTATATAAACAGCATGTCTATTTTCAGATTCATTTTATTTTTACATTTACTGAACCGTTTAGAAAACAAAGAAAACAATTTCTCGTCTACTTTACTAACTTTAAAACACACACTGACTTGTGTAAATCCCGGGTGCATGTGTTTAAATACTACTAACCTAGATACACATACTGACTTGTGTAATTCCCGGGTACATGTGTATAAATACTAATAACCTTAATACACATACTGACCTGTGTAAATCCCGGGTACATGTGTATAAATACTACTTACCTAGATACGCATACTGACCTGTGTAAATCCCGGGTACATGTATATAAATACTACTAACCTAGATACACATACTGACTTATGTAAATCCTGGGTACATGTATATAAATACTACTAACCTAAATATACACACTGACTTGTGTAAATCCCGGGTACATGTGTATCAATACTTCTAACCTAGATACGCATACTGACTTATGTAAATCCTGGGTACATGTGTATAAATACTAATAACCTAGATACACATACTGACTTGTGTAAATCCCGGGTACATGTGTATAAATACTAATAACCTAGATACACATACTGACTTATGTAAATCCTGGGTACATGTGTATAAATACTAATAACCTAGATACACATACTGACTTGTGTAAATCCCGGGTACATGTGTATAAATACTAATAACCTAGATACACATACTGACTTGTGTAAATCCCGGGTACATGTGTATAAATACTACTAACCTAGATACACATACTGACTTGTGTAAATCCCGGGTACATGTGTATAAATACTACTAACCTAGATACACATACTGACTTGTGTAAATCCCGGGTACATGTGTATAAATACTACTAACCTAGATACACATACTGACTTATGTAAATCCTGGGTACATGTGTATAAATACTAATAACCTAGATACACACACTGACTTGTGTAAATCCCGGGTACATGTGTATAAATACTACTAACCTAGATACACATACTGACTTGTGTAAATCCCGGGTACATGTGTATAAATACTACTAACCTAGATACACATACTGACTTGTGTAAATCCCGGGTACATGTGTATAAATACTACTAACCTAGATACACATACTGACTTGTGTAAATCCCGGGTACATGTGTATAAATACTACTAACCTAGATACACATACTGACTTGTGTAAATCCCGGGTACATGTGTATAAATACTACTAACCTAGATACACATACTGACTTGTGTAAATCCCGGGTACATGTGTATAAATACTACTAACCTAGATACACATACTGACTTGTGTAAATCCCGGGTACATGTGTATAAATACTACTAACCTAGATACACATACTGACTTGTGTAAATCCCGGGTACATGTGTATAAATACTACTAACCTAGATACACATACTGACTTGTGTAAATCCCGGGTACATGTGTATAAATACTACTAACCTAGATACACATACTGACTTGTGTAAATCCCGGGTACATGTGTATAAATACTACTAACCTAGATACACATACTGACTTGTGTAAATCCCGGGTACATGTGTATAAATACTACTAACCTAGATACACATACTGACTTGTGTAAATCCCGGGTACATGTGTATAAATACTACTAACCTAGATACACATACTGACTTGTGTAAATCCCGGGTACATGTGTATAAATACTACTAACCTAGATACACATACTGACTTGTGTAAATCCCGGGTACATGTGTATAAATACTACTAACCTAGATACACATACTGACTTGTGTAAATCCCGGGTACATGTGTATAAATACTACTAACCTAGATACACATACTGACTTGTGTAAATCCCGGGTACATGTGTATAAATACTACTAACCTAGATACACATACTGACTTATGTAAATCCTGGGTACATGTATATAAATACTAATAACCTAGATACACATACTGACTTGTGTAAATCCCGGGTACATGTGTATAAATACTACTAACCTAGATACACATACTGACTTGTGTAAATCCCGGGTACATGTGTATAAATACTACTAACCTAGATACACATACTGACTTGTGTAAATCCCGGGTACATGTGTATAAATACTACTAACCTAGATACACATACTGACTTGTGTAAATCCCGGGTACATGTGTATAAATACTACTAACCTAGATACACATACTGACTTGTGTAAATCCCGGGTACATGTGTATAAATACTACTAACCTAGATACACATACTGACTTGTGTAAATCCCGGGTACATGTGTATAAATACTACTAACCTAGATACACATACTGACTTGTGTAAATCCCGGGTACATGTGTATAAATACTACTAACCTAGATACACATACTGACTTGTGTAAATCCCGGGTACATGTGTATAAATACTACTAACCTAGATACACATACTGACTTGTGTAAATCCCGGGTACATGTGTATAAATACTACTAACCTAGATACACATACTGACTTGTGTAAATCCCGGGTACATGTGTATAAATACTACTAACCTAGATACACATACTGACTTGTGTAAATCCCGGGTACATGTGTATAAATACTACTAACCTAGATACACATACTGACTTGTGTAAATCCCGGGTACATGTGTATAAATACTACTAACCTAGATACACATACTGACTTGTGTAAATCCCGGGTACATGTGTATAAATACTACTAACCTAGATACACATACTGACTTGTGTAAATCCCGGGTACATGTGTATAAATACTACTAACCTAGATACACATACTGACTTGTGTAAATCCCGGGTACATGTGTATAAATACTACTAACCTAGATACACATACTGACTTGTGTAAATCCCGGGTACATGTGTATAAATACTACTAACCTAGATACACATACTGACTTGTGTAAATCCCGGGTACATGTGTATAAATACTACTAACCTAGATACACATACTGACTTGTGTAAATCCCGGGTACATGTGTATAAATACTACTAACCTAGATACACATACTGACTTGTGTAAATCCCGGGTACATGTGTATAAATACTACTAACCTAGATACACATACTGACTTGTGTAAATCCCGGGTACATGTGTATAAATACTACTAACCTAGATACACATACTGACTTGTGTAAATCCCGGGTACATGTGTATAAATACTACTAACCTAGATACACATACTGACTTGTGTAAATCCCGGGTACATGTGTATAAATACTACTAACCTAGATACACATACTGACTTGTGTAAATCCCGGGTACATGTGTATAAATACTACTAACCTAGATACACATACTGACTTGTGTAAATCCCGGGTACATGTGTATAAATACTACTAACCTAGATACACATACTGACTTGTGTAAATCCCGGGTACATGTGTATAAATACTACTAACCTAGATACACATACTGACTTGTGTAAATCCCGGGTACATGTGTATAAATACTACTAACCTAGATACACATACTGACTTGTGTAAATCCCGGGTACATGTGTATAAATACTACTAACCTAGATACACATACTGACTTGTGTAAATCCCGGGTACATGTGTATAAATACTACTAACCTAGATACACATACTGACTTGTGTAAATCCCGGGTACATGTGTATAAATACTACTAACCTAGATACACATACTGACTTGTGTAAATCCCGGGTACATGTGTATAAATACTACTAACCTAGATACACATACTGACTTGTGTAAATCCCGGGTACATGTGTATAAATACTACTAACCTAGATACACATACTGACTTGTGTAAATCCCGGGTACATGTGTATAAATACTACTAACCTAGATACACATACTGACTTGTGTAAATCCCGGGTACATGTGTATAAATACTACTAACCTAGATACACATACTGACTTGTGTAAATCCCGGGTACATGTGTATAAATACTACTAACCTAGATACACATACTGACTTGTGTAAATCCCGGGTACATGTGTATAAATACTACTAACCTAGATACACATACTGACTTGTGTAAATCCCGGGTACATGTGTATAAATACTACTAACCTAGATACACATACTGACTTGTGTAAATCCCGGGTACATGTGTATAAATACTACTAACCTAGATACACATACTGACTTGTGTAAATCCCGGGTACATGTGTATAAATACTACTAACCTAGATACACATACTGACTTGTGTAAATCCCGGGTACATGTGTATAAATACTACTAACCTAGATACACATACTGACTTGTGTAAATCCCGGGTACATGTGTATAAATACTACTAACCTAGATACACATACTGACTTGTGTAAATCCCGGGTACATGTGTATAAATACTACTAACCTAGATACACATACTGACTTGTGTAAATCCCGGGTACATGTGTATAAATACTACTAACCTAGATACACATACTGACTTGTGTAAATCCCGGGTACATGTGTATAAATACTACTAACCTAGATACACATACTGACTTGTGTAAATCCCGGGTACATGTGTATAAATACTACTAACCTAGATACACATACTGACTTGTGTAAATCCCGGGTACATGTGTATAAATACTACTAACCTAGATACACATACTGACTTGTGTAAATCCCGGGTACATGTGTATAAATACTACTAACCTAGATACACATACTGACTTGTGTAAATCCCGGGTACATGTGTATAAATACTACTAACCTAGATACACATACTGACTTGTGTAAATCCCGGGTACATGTGTATAAATACTACTAACCTAGATACACATACTGACTTGTGTAAATCCCGGGTACATGTGTATAAATACTACTAACCTAGATACACATACTGACTTGTGTAAATCCCGGGTACATGTGTATAAATACTACTAACCTAGATACACATACTGACTTGTGTAAATCCCGGGTACATGTGTATAAATACTACTAACCTAGATACACATACTGACTTGTGTAAATCCCGGGTACATGTGTATAAATACTACTAACCTAGATACACATACTGACTTGTGTAAATCCCGGGTACATGTGTATAAATACTACTAACCTAGATACACATACTGACTTGTGTAAATCCCGGGTACATGTGTATAAATACTACTAACCTAGATACACATACTGACTTGTGTAAATCCCGGGTACATGTGTATAAATACTACTAACCTAGATACACATACTGACTTGTGTAAATCCCGGGTACATGTGTATAAATACTACTAACCTAGATACACATACTGACTTGTGTAAATCCCGGGTACATGTGTATAAATACTACTAACCTAGATACACATACTGACTTGTGTAAATCCCGGGTACATGTGTATAAATACTACTAACCTAGATACACATACTGACTTGTGTAAATCCCGGGTACATGTGTATAAATACTACTAACCTAGATACACATACTGACTTGTGTAAATCCCGGGTACATGTGTATAAATACTACTAACCTAGATACACATACTGACTTGTGTAAATCCCGGGTACATGTGTATAAATACTACTAACCTAGATACACATACTGACTTGTGTAAATCCCGGGTACATGTGTATAAATACTACTAACCTAGATACACATACTGACTTGTGTAAATCCCGGGTATAAGTTTATAAATACCAATAACCTAGATACACATACTGACTTGTGTAAATCCCGGGTACATGTATATAAATACTACTAACCTAGATACACACACTGACTAGAGTAAATCCCGAATACATGTGTATAAATACTACTAACCTAGATACACATACTGGCTTGTGTAAATCCCGAGTATAAGTGTATAAATACCAATAACCTAGATTCACATACTGACGTGTGTAAATCCCGGTTACATGTGTATACATACTAATAACCTAGATACACATACTGACTTGAAAACTAATAACCTAGATACACATACTGACTTGTGTAAATTCAGGATACATGTGTATAAATAATAATAACCTAGATACACATACTGACCTGCGTAAATCCAGGATACATGTTTATAAATAGTAATAACCTAGATACACATACTGACTTGTGTAAATCCAGGATACATTTGTATAAATACTAATAACCTAGATACACATACTGACTTGTGTAAATCTCGGGTACATTTGTATAAATACTAATAACCTAGATACACATACTGACCTTTGTAAATCCTTTTGTAATTGGACTTATATCATTACAACCAAACAATGATATATAACACAAAAGTACTTATGACTGTTTCCTGTACATAATTATGTTTAAAATATTTTTGTATTGGTACACAACATATTATGTAATTAGCTGTCTGTACAGAGAGCAATACGCGTCCTTTTCAAATGTTATATACCATGTTAACATGTTGAACCCCTGACAGACGAACAGAAAATAAAACAAATATACTATGTATATCAATGGTCAATTGATCCATATTTTCATAGGTATTTCCAACATCTAAATCAAACGTACTGATAACTAAATCAAACATTCGGATTACTAAGTCATTCACTTACCGATAACTAGATCATACGTAGGAATTAAAAACTTATAGGTACGGATAAGTTAATCGAACGTATGCATTAATTAATCTTACATCCGGTATGTTAATTACATCCGGTATGTTAATTTTACATAATGTTTTGTTATCAGTAGGAACGATGTTTTTGGTATGGTTGCTCTTCCATATATACCATTGTAGGGTTTTAAACGCGTTTTTCCTGAAAAATTTATGATAATTGACAAGAATTTCGATCATGAAAAAAAATCAATATCTCAAAACAAAATGAATTTTTTTCTTTCAAAGGATCAAAACAACTTTTAACTTCAAAACGACGTTTAGAAGGAGAATATTAATACTTTTCAATGTATAAACCACTCATGTCTTTCTCAATGTGAAGAGTTCCCCTATACATAAGTTATAATAGCGAAGACGAATTCTACTCAAAGTGTTTCTTTCTTTTGCTTGGAGTATACTACCTTCTTTATAGAAGAGGAGGCAACCGAAATTGATTATTTCTAGCTTAGAGTGACTTCCCCTGTTGGGGTATTTATAGATTTTCAGGCTCATAAATAGGACACTGATTTCGATGCTGTTCACGTGATATACCTGGAAGGCAACATTGTGATAGTGTGGACTTTGCAATGCTACGTTCGGCCCCTGTGATTATTTTGTCTTTACTTTTATTTTTGATTTGATATTATGTTTCAATTTCGGAAAATTGTATTTCAGTAAAACGCAACGGACCATGTGATGTTTTTGGAATACATCTTTGAATACATCTTCGATATGGCTGATATAGACATGTATTTCGTATTAGCGGTAACGGTAACAATAGAGCTTTACTTGTTGGTATCTATTCCCTCAATTTCACTTTATCATTTATCACCTTCATTCCTGTTATTGTTCCGTCCTCTATGTTCTATTTGTGTCATTAACGCATAGTTATTCACTATAAAATTGTATGACAAACTCAATTAATCGTTCTACTGCATCAATTTTAATTTCTTTTCAGAGAAGATACAGCACCTACGGTAAATAGCAAAACGAAACCAGTAATGCCGTCTGTTGGCGATGTGGTCGATATTCTCTCCAAGATTGGGGAGTACTTACAGCGAATAAATGTACATATCAAGGACAAAATTGAGATTGCCATAACTAACTTCAGAAATGTGAACGGGTCAGTAAATATTCAAAAATTGGAGGAAATTTATTCCTTTTTGACAAAACTATATGGATATCTGCCGCAGTTTACAAGTGGCGATCCCGTCCAGCTACTGAAGGGCTTGGTGGGGATAGTGGCTACTGTCTCCGCCTTCACAGGTTGGGGGGGACCAGTTGTCCCCGTCATCTGTGGAGTGTTAACTGTAATCTTTTCCTCTTTTGGGGGTAAGGTTATCACCATAGGAGAGGTCGTCGAAAGTCAAATCCGCCGAACATTTTGTGGACATAGCTATGAAACACTGCTACAGGAGGCTCAGGACCTCCACCTCAAGTATCAGCTGGCATATGACTTCCTTAACCCAAAAAGTGACAAAAGAGAATTTTCGGAGCATGACATAACAAACATGAATATTCAAATGAATGTTTTTCAAGGTGCCACGTTTCTTCGCAAGCTTGGGGACCTGATCAAAGAGCTGGCTAAGGAGCATAAAGAGAATGACTCTAACAAAAAGTCTGAGAAAGCCAATAAAGCTATGCAATTTATTGAATTATACATCAAGCTTGCATCACTGCGTGACATGATTCTGTGGCACTTCTTTACAATCACCAACTCTACAAGTCACAGTCAACATCTGGCCGGATGTGTACAAAGAGTGATCTGCTCCTTTGATGAACGAGACAGGGAAGCTCTCGGTATGTTTCTCAAACCCACAGAAGAATACGTCTACATTGTGTCATACGTCAGGGAAGAGATATATGAGCTATTCATGAAGTTTCTTGAGCAGAAAAAGCTCTTGCCGGATCAGAGCCGGTTGACACATGGACAATTTGGACTGTATTCAGCTAAATGGCCCCATTGGCATGCTATAAGAAGGAGAACGCATGCGTCAACCTTTCAAATAGGAGATTTAAGGTTCTTATGCGGTTCCAAAAGCGCATCACGGCCCGAATCGTTGTTTTGCTTTAAAAGAATTCGCGGGAGTAAAAACTATTTCCACATAATTCAGAGAGAAAGGTATGGAGAGTTAGTGTGTATGACGAAAGGCTCCGACCGATGGGTTATGTCTCTAAAAGGAGCTCCAACAGCTCCTGAGTGTACGTGGAAAGTTATCCAAATGGAAAACGGAAACTATGTGTTTGCTCCGCTTGCCTTTCCTGATTATTTCATGGGTATGACCAAACTGTTGGATGGAAGTATTGGCGGATTCCTCGGAGGTTATGATGAACAGTGTCACTGGATACTGATCGACTGAGATTGAGTTTCCGTTTTGGTTTGGTATACAATGGCGTGACCTTGCATGTAAATTGTGTACAAAGCTTTCGAAGTAACATTAACAAGTATTTTTTATAGGTATCAGCTTAGGTGATTGGTCATGGCCTTTTTACCTAAGACCAATTAAATAGCGAGCCGCATGCCTTCAATTTTATCATGACATATTCTAGGGGTGAAGAGAGTGAAGATGAACGTAAACCCTAGAATATCGAGGATGGTCTGCTAGCTAATATTTAAACACATTCGACAAATGAAACCAGTCCTACGACCTGCCTATTTACGAGGTTTTTCGAAGAGCGTTGGTATGTTGGAAAATAAAAGACGCTCGCACATGGCTTATTGAACAATAACCAAAGTAGTTACCAACGTGTCGTTACATCGCAGACGTTTTAGAATTAACGATAACTGAGGGTTTAGTTGATACTTGTATATACTGGTGAATGATAAGAATGATAAAGCAGGCTTTCTGAGGTGGCTTCGGAATGTATTTTATACATTGTAAATATGCCTCATTGTGTCAATGTCAGAAATAATTAATTTAGTGGTAATAAATATCAACACTCATTCTCGATCCAAGATATCAGGTTTTGTCCTTCATCAGCGATTGAATTGTGTTCTTCACCATATGTGACATCTGTATTATAAAACAGAAAGATAGCACACTTTATGAACGGCCAAGACCGAAAGCTTAGATCAAGAGTGACTGTTAATATATATGATATTAAGTTTCCTGTTGAAAAATTTAGTCATCTAAGAGTAGTTTTGTACATAATAATTTTATGTCAACCTCACTCACTACTTTATGCGTATAATGTTTTGACAACCTCACACAATACTTATGTGTATTATTTCTATGACAACCTCACTCACTACTTTATGTGTATAATGTTTTGACAACCTCACACAATACGTATGTGTATTACTTCTATGACAACCTCACACACTACTTTATGTGTATCATTTTTATGATAAGCTCACACACTACTTTATGTGTATCATTTTTAATGTAAGCTCACACACTACTTTTGTGTATCATTTTTATGATAAGCTCACACACTACTTACGTGTATCATTTCTATGACAACCTCACACACTACTTTATGTGTATCCTTTTTATGATAAGCTCACACACTACTTATGTGTATCATTTATATGATAAGCTCACACACTACTTACGTGTATCATTTCTATGACAACCTCACGCACTACTTTAAGTGTATCATTTTTATGATAAGCTCACACACTACTTATATGTATCATTTTTATGATAAGCTCACACACTACTTTATGTGTATCATTTTTATGATAAGCTCACAAATTACTTTATGTGTATCATTTTTATGATAAGCTCACACACTTCTTATGTGTATCATGTTTATGATAAGCTCACACACTACTTATTTGTATTATTTCTATGACAACCTCACACACGACTTTATGTGTATCATTTTTATATTATAAGCTCACACACTACTTTATGTGTATCATTTTTATGATAAGCTCACACCCTACTTATGTGTATCATTTTTAAGATAAGCTCACACACTACTCATTTGTATTATTTCTATGACAACCTCACACACTACTTTATGTGCATCATTTTTATGATAGGCTCACACACTACTTATGTGTAGCATTTTATGATAAGCTCACACCCTACTTTATTTGTATCATTTTTATAATAAGCTCACACACTACTTATTTGTATCATTTTTATAATAAGCTCACACACTACTTAATGTGTATCATTTTTATGATAATCTCACACACTACTTTATTTGCAGCATTTTTATGATAAGCTTACACGCTACTTTATGTGTATCATGTTTATGATAAGCTCCCACACTACTTATTTGTATTATTCCTATGACAACCTCACACACGACTTTATGTGTATCATTTTTATTATAAGCTCACACACTACTTATTTGTATCATGTTTATGATAAGCCTACACACTACTTTATGTGTATCATGTTTATGATAAGCCTACACACTACTTTATGTGTATGATTTTTATGATAAGCTCACGCACTACTTTATTTGTATCATTTTTATAATAAGCTCACACACTACTTATTTGTATTATTTTTATGATAAGCTCACCCACTACTTATGTGTATCATTTTTATGATAAGATCGCACACTACTTTCAGTGCATCATTTTTATGATAGGCTCACACACTACTTATGTGTAGCAGTTTTATGATAAGCTCACACCCTACTTTATTTGTAGCATTTTTATGATAAGCTCACACCCTTCTTTATTTGCAGCATTTTTATGATAAGCTCACGCACTACTTTATTTGTATCATTTTTATGATAAGATCGCACACTACTTTCAGTGCATCATTTTTATGATAGGCTCACACACTACTTATGTGTAGCATTTTATGATAAGCTCACACCCTACTTATGTGTATCATTTTTATGATAAGCTCACACACTACTTTATTTGCAGCATTTTTATGATAAGCTTACACACTACTTTATGTGTATCATTTTTATGATAACCTCACACACTACTTATGTGTAGCATTTTTATTATAAGCTCACACACTACTTTATTTGTAGCATTTTAATGATAAGATCACACACTACTTTATGTGTATCATTTTTACGATAAGCTCACACACTACTTATGTGTAGCATTTTTATTATAAGCTCACACACTACTTTATTTGTAGCATTTTAATGATAAGCTCACACACTACTTTATGTGCATCATTTTTATGATAAGCTCACACACTACTTATGTGTAGCATTTTTATGATAAGCTCACACACTACTTTATGTGTATCAATTTTATGATAAGCTCACACACTACTTTATGTGTAGCATTTTAATGATTAGCTCACACACTACTTTATGTGTATCATTTTTATGATAAGCTTACACACTACTTTATGTGTATCATTTTTTTGATAACATATTTTATGAAGTTAGAAGTATTGTTTAAATCTCTTTGCATTAATTGAAACATATTGTAAGTAAAACAATATCTAACAATAACAACATAATATGTTATAATAACACTGTAGCAAATCAAGCTAAACATAAGAGAGGAAAAATAACATTAATTACAACAGAGTTGTGTTGTCATCTATTGTGTGTTTTTGTATTATATCCAGTAGAGTGTTAAGGTATCAGCTATGGCTGTACAATACGTTACCTGTAGCTGTGTAATAAGTTGACAGGACCGTCTTATAAGTGACAACTTATTACACGGCTACTGGTTATTTAATATCACATTCTAGAGAAAATTAGAGTAATTCAGCAATATAGGTAAAACAAAAACAACAACCACAGTTTTTAGTATAATATTAAATCAATATATAGAATACCAGTGGTGTACTATCCTTAAAATCCAACACATTCAAAATCAACAGCTAGAGTCCCGGCGGTGTATATTTCCGTGGAATTCAACACATTCAAAATCAACAGCTAAAGTCCCGGCGGTGTATATATCCGTGGAATTCAACACATTCAAAATCAACAGCTACAGTACTGTACCCACGGTTTATATATCCGTGGAATTCAACACAATCAAAATTCAACAGCTATACTGTCTACTTCTTGTGTAATTTTCTCCTTTTCAGATAGGGCTGAAAAATGTTGTTTTAATCGTAAAAATAAGCCCCTGATTTTATTTTCCCTTTTCCAAAATGTCACTCTAGCACCGCCAACAAAACTTATAAACAATTACCTCCTCAATGTCAGAGAACATTGTAATATACTAGTATGAACACATGTTCTCTTCAAAGACTCAAAAATCATGCATGAGCTTTGCATGAGAGTGACACCAGGTTCACCTTTTACTGTCCAATAAGTTAAATGGGTCAGTGAACACCAATAGAGAATAAGCATTGGAGACATAGAGAGGGGACTGTGTTTTAAGTTAGATATAAGCCGAAAACTGTCCAATAGGTGAGAGAAAGAACAGGTCCCGGACATAACGGGCCTCTACACCTGTCCTTTCGTTCACTTATTATACAGTTTTCGGCTTAAATCCATATCAGATGTCATTTTTTGTAAAGGTTAACGAGATCGAGCATTTATGATAAATTAGGCAGTTCATATATGTAAAGAAGGTCCTTACTATAAGGAACAGCAGGATTTGACTTAAACTATCTATACTATTAATATGCTCAAGGCTCGGTACATTGTAAATCGAACATGTCGATACTACATTTAGGTGCAGGGATGTTGATTATCTGACGTTGAAACAAATTGATATGCTTTTCGCATGGTCACAACCATATTAGTTTCAGGCTTGTATATTTCTCGAAGCTAAAAATGAGAAATTAAGCTCCGGATAATCTAGAAATTAAAGTTATTTTTTTATTTGTCGTTATGAAGTGACATGTTGTAATACAGGCGAGCTATTGTTAAGGCATCAAACTGAATGCTTTATTGCAGACTAAGTTTAATTCTTTATGTATCATTTTACTAACCGTAATTCATAATATTTCATATTACTGATGTTTGAAGTAAACTTAAAAATATAAATAATTGAGTTCTATAAAGGATTTCTTATCGTGTTGAAATCTAGGTTGACCGATCGGCTAATGGCACTTGTTCAACCTCATATATATGCCATTTTAGTTGTGTAGTGAGCGCTTAATCAAATTAATGAAAACATGAAATAAACACAAAATTAATGTTATTACGACGTTTTATTGCTTATGTTGATTGATGATTGACCTCTGTGTATTGATAATATTACACCTAACATGTGTTATCAATGCCGCTATCAAAACACAGCGGATAAAGGTATGCTATCTGTTTCCCAGTCACGTAAGCACGACTAGTTTTAGATGACCTAATTAAGTAGCAAAATGTTTTCGTAAAACGCTAAATGTGAAATAAAACACCTCATTTTGTAATAAAGTTTCTTTTGTCTTCCTTGTTATTGTTTATTATTTGCGAAAGAATGAAAAAATGAAAAAGAAAAAATGTTTATGACCAGTATATGTGAACACATAAAAGATTATTGCTTGTATATATTACACATATCTATTACTGATATTAGTCTGCCTGTGTCTATAGAGTAAAAACGTTTTATTGACTTCGTACATGTCATTGGCACTGGCCACCTATTTCATTCTCTTCCAAACTCATTTTACAAACGATACACGCGGTTATTGCAATCAACCTCAATAGTAGTCGTAGACTAATGGTATGACGTCGACAACGGTGAGTTAACGTTTATTGGTATTTGAAGGGGAGACAACTCCGATTCAATTTTTGAAAATATTCAGGGGATAGTACGTTGTTTTGAGTGGCTATACTGGCAATTAGAATATGAAATTTGGTTTGAACTCGAGACCGACAAATTATTATGCGTTGTTAAAGGGCCTTTGCAACCAGCCAATATCTTTCTCAACTCCCTGGGGAGCATACAGTCGGTGCTGCCATTTCGGCGCTCACAACTAGCATTCAACAATTCTAGCACTGTCCAACCACGTACTCATTTACAGCTAAGTAGACTATAACAATTGGAGTAAAATCGTCTTGCTCAAAGATACAACACAGTGCAGTGCCGTGACTCGAACCCGCAACCCTTCGGTCACGAGTCCGGCGTCCTACCACTAGACTACCGTGCCTCCTAAACATGTTATACATTAAATTCGCGAACACCAGTGTGTATTACACGACGTTTTCAAAAATCATATAAGTTTATATTATCAGTCCTGATCAAACTTGACTCTCATTGACATACAGTCAGACTACTCGGCAGTGGGATATGTACGCGTACAAAAATCATACATTTGTTTGTCGAATTGACGTTATTGAAATTTTACTTGAATATGTATTTTCATTCATCATAGCTATTTAAAACATTAGTAAAATTACGAGAAACAACAGCAAGATAATACCGAAGAATCAACAAAACCATAATACGAAATCAAAATTGATAAACTAGGGCAAAATAAAATAAACTAGGGCAAAATATGATAAACTAGGGCAAACAATGATAAATTAGGGCAAAATATGACAAACTAGGGCAAAATATGAAAACCTAGGGCAAAATATGATAAACTAGGGCAAAATATGTTAACTAGGGCAAATATGATAAACTAGGGCAAAATATGAAAAAGGATTTTTTTTACAGGGAGACCCTTTACAAGACATAACAAATAACGCAAAGCAGTATGCTCTTAATAACGTTTATTGTACACATGATATTTAATTTATAACTGTTTTGTTTAATAGTCTAACACGAACTTAAATATGCTTAGGAAGTGTCAGGTTAAATATCTTAGATCAGCACATTTATATACAGGACTAAAATAAATCACCCGTTGATGATTCAATACCAGTGCTTTCTTATAACAATGATATATTTAAATTATAAATAGTCTGCAATCGCTTTCTTACTTATATTTACATTCCTATCCTTGTAATGACATCCCTTATTGTTAAGAACACTTGTTTCCAAGTTCTGTGATTAAGCACATCAGCAATAAGTTTTTATATAGCTAACCGAAACAATAATTTAGTGCTTTGGAATTAATGCGCTATTATACATGTTGAAAACAGAACATATACGGTATATATAATGATGTGTAGTTAACATGAATATGCTGCGTTGTACGTAGTAATTCATATTCAGGTAAAGATGGTGTGAAACAAATTATCAGCTTCATCCAAACGAACAAAGTTCAGTGAAACATCAAAACTATCCAATATTGCATGTATTATATGTATTATATATTAAATCATATAACAGTTACGACAACACAAACAGAAAGCACGGTGATACAAACTGTTATCAGGTTACAATACAGGAGTAACTATCTATTTGTTGACTTAATACATAACTCAGATACAACGTCGTTATCTTCCAACCCAGCCAGGTGGTTGAAGCATGCCTTACCTATACTGATCTATGATAAACCATCAGTAGTACTGTATATATTTGTTCTAGTCACAGCCAGGTGGTTGAAGCATGCCTTACCTATACTGATCTGTGATAAACCATCAGTGGTATATATTTGTTCTAGTCACACCGCTTATATAACATGGAGGATACCGCTCTGTCATCTACAGCATCATTTCCATTTTCTACCAACAGCCGATTCTTCAGAGACATTAGACCGGTAAAT